CCTCGTCGGAGCTGCGTCGGCGATTGCTGCGACGGCGATCATTTCCGCCAAGCCCAAGGACCCGACCTTCCACCTGATCTCTATAAAGTTCACTTCCCTCAAGGTGAAGCCGCCGGTGGTGGACGCAGAGCTCATCCTGACCGTCCACGTTACCAACCCCAACGTGGCTCCTATCCACTACTCCTCCACAGCCATGTCCATTTTCTACGACGGCTCCCATCTGGGGTCTGCCCTGGTCGAGGCCGGTTCGCAGCAGTCCCGGTCCTGCCAGGTCCTCCGGCTCCCGGCCCGTCTAGACGGCCTGAAGCTGGCCCACCATCGCAGTCGGTTCATCTCCGATGTGGCGAAGCGGGAGATGGTTCTGGATGCGAGTGTGGACATTGGGGGAATTGCGAAAGTGCTGTGGTGGAATCACAGGTTCAAGGTGCACGTGGACAGCCATCTGACCGTTGATCCCGTCTTCCTGGATGTGCTTGATCAGGAAAATACTTCTCAACTTAAGCTGTTTCTTACTTGATCGGGGATGCTATATAGTGTTAATTTCCGTCTCCCTGCGTTAGCTTCTGTGAGATTAATGGATAATCCTACTGAATTGCCAATCATAGTTCATTTGCTCTTGTTTTCATAATTAATTATCAATTTTCTGCTCTAATTTTTCTGGAGTTTCCTCAAATATCGTTAATTATTTGATTTATCATTTGGGATTTGAACCCTTTTTCTCTAAGAAGTTTCTAATGTTATGGGTTACCAAATTACAGCCTGATAGCGACTTTGGTCATTTTAGTACTCAAAATGACGGTTCAATCATGTGTCATTGTTTTAATTTGTCTGCTTTGTATGACATTTTTTTCATTTAGCAATTTTTTTTTTAAATTAAAAGAAGAACAATAATAGGATTAAATTACGGAAAAATTAAAGGTTAATTTGATTTTGATTGAACTTACGTTGCATTGAATCATGTAGAAAGTGAAAAGAAAAAGGGTTATACTAGAGTAATCATATTTAGTATATAAATTATAAATTTATGTTTTTGTATGTATTTGTTATACTAAAAAAGAGAGTAGATTTCATGAGTTCACATAAATGGATGAGATTTGAAGGAACAAACCGATGATTCTGGATGGTGATTATGAATATAATAATGCATTTAAGTTCCCAGAAAATGAGAAAGGAAGTTAATAAAGCTTTGGGAGGTTGCTATTTTTATGAGTATTGAGGGTTAAGGAGGGAGATTATGAATTGGAGAGCGTTTGTTGTTGTGGGAAGGAATGGAAAATGCGGATCCAAAGAAGCAAAAAGGGTTCAAGTTATTTAGAGAAAGCGATTGGAGGAGGGAAACAAGGAGGCGTCTGGTTGAATCAACTCCCTCGCCCACATTTCTCTATTTCTTCCACGATCATATCAACATAAAACACACCATTCCTTTTTTGTTCTTCCCAACAATTCAAAGCAATGACTCTGGTTGTTCTTCGTTCCTCTTCCCTTTTTGCTTCACCCCATTCAAGGGTTTCTTCTTCTTCTTCCGATCCTCCCTGCGATGGCGATGGATCTCCCCTTGTTGACATGCATTCTCCAATACCCACTTCGTGTTCTTCTTCCTCTTCTTCTGTGGATGGCAATGGGGAAGGGGAGGTGGTAGGGAAGTAGCGGTTAAAGCAAAGGAGAGATCAGCTCTCGTTGTTGGCTTTAGTTGTGACCCTTTTCAGGAAATCTTTGATTGTTTGCAAGAGTGATAGAAGAGAGGTATGTGCAATGGAGATCGGTTGGCCGACTGATGTGCGACATGTCACGCATGTCACTTTTGATAGATTTAATGGATTCTTGGGTTTGCCTGTTGAGTTTGAACCTGAAGTGCCTCGCAGGGCTCCCAGTGCTAGGTATGTTTTCATTGCTTCTGCTCTTTTGTTGCCTTTGGTTATGCCATTCTTGAATTCTGATGTTTCAAACTTCTCCTGTTCCTGTCTATTTCTCTACCTCAATAGCTATCTCTTTTGTCTGTTGTGAAATTCTGCTGCCTCTCTTCTTCTTTCTTCCTTTCCTTTTAGATTAAGGATTTGTTGTGCAATGTTTCTGTTACTGGATTTGAGGCATCATGGAAATGGACATTTGTCGTGTTTCTCCATACACTTGAGAGGTGGATTGTGAGATCTCATATCGATTGGAGAGAGGAACAAGTGATGCTGGGCCCGGTGGACTGTGCAAGATCTCACATTGATCGGAAAAAGGAACGAGCTTCAGACGGAGGTGGATTATGAGATCCCATATGGGTTGGATGGGGGAATAAAACATTATTATTTATTAAGGGTGTGAAATCTCTGACATGTTTTAAAAATCTTGAAAGAAAACTCGAAAGGGAAAGCTCAAAAAGGACAACACCGGTAGCCTTCGGTTGTTAAATTCTCCTTAAATACTACATATTTAATGCATCTCTTTAAGAAAGAAAGCAGAACTGATGAATCCTGTTGCTTCACTTTCTACCAGAAATGGAAAAGAATGAGAAGAGAAGCGCATACTTTGTGGCTCCCCTCACCCCCAAACCCCCTCGGATGCGCCTGGTTAATCTTTTGGCTTCTCTCTCGCATCCCATGCTATAGAGAACTGTCAACCATATCATTCTAAGCTCCTCAAATGATTTCTCCAAATGTAGAGCCCTAATCTATTTTGGTTCTCTACATCACCTTTCATGTGATTCCATGATCCTTACTGCATATTTGGAGCTGTTTCTCTTATAGTTCAACTGTGTTCGGGGTTTCAACGGAATCCATGCAACTCTCGTACGACTCGAGAGGGAACAGCGTTCCCACAATTCTTATACGAATGCAACACTGTCTGTATGCTCAAGGTGGCTTGCAGGTTCGTACACCTCTCCCTTACGTTTACCCACAATGCAGAAGGTTGTTTCAAGTCTTGTTAATTGGTTTGGCCTAGTGTGCGCGTCTGATCGGTTTCTTTACCCCTTTAGGCTGAAGGTATTTTCAGAATCACTGCAGAGAACAGTCGAGGAGTATGCACGTGAGCATTTAAACCAAGGAGTAGTACCAGACAACATCGATTTACATTGTTTCGCTGGCCTTATCAAGGTTATCTCAATTTAAGTTAGATTCGACGAGTCCACGAAATATTGAAACTTCGTTATAATCATTGAAATGCTTCTGAAACGAGAAACTTGTAACTCACAGGTGTAGTTCAGAGAACTCCCAGCTGGGATTTTGGATTCTCTGTTGTCGGAGCGGGTCATGGAGTGTCAGACAGAAGAAGAATGTGCTGATCTAATAAGGCATCTACCTCCTAGTGAAGCTTCTTTGCTAGGTTGGGCTATCAACCTAATGGCAGATGTTGTCCAGCAGGAACATTTCAACAAGATGAATGCTCGCAACATAGCTATGGTTTTTTCTCCAAATATGACTCAGGTGAAATTCAAATAGCTTGTGTTAGTTGAGTCCACTGTCTCGAGACGAAAACATTCCTGTCAATGTATCATTGGTTGCTCGATCCATCTGACAATGGTTCTCTGGCATTCTTGTTGTGCAGATGGCTGACCCTTTGACTGCATTGATGTATGCTGTTCAAGTAATGAACTGCCTCAGGATGCTTATCTTAAGGACACTGCGAGGAAGGGAAGTATCCATTTTCGACTCGGCTGCTGCACATTTAGAGCCACCTGATGAGAGTGGCCACCAGAGTCCTTCACAGCCCTGCCTCAGAAATACTGCCACCATGGTTCAGGTGGCAGAGCAGGCCGAGCCTGAGTTTGTTGCAGAACTGCCTGTTCTTGATGAAGAAGATGCACATTTTTCTGATGGAGATGTTTTTTCATTAAGCCTTGTCAAAAAACTGCTGCCTAATGAGTATGGAGCTTTACTGAATGCCTACAAAGACAAAGAAGGTGTTGCAGGCAATGGCTTAAAGGCAGAAGTTGTAATCCAAACTGAAAAGAACAGGACTTGTCTATCAAATGTTTCAAATCTGAAAGACGAGACTAACAAACTAACTAACCAGAACTCTGTATTTCGAGTCTTCGCACCGGTACTGGTACAGAAGCGGCTCAGCAAACTGAGATGTATAAATTCATCGAGAGAGCGAATTGAAGCGTGGCGATAATACGCAAACAGTGAACAAAATTTGCTGTGGTATAGATGTTTTTATATGTTTTTTAAATATGCTGACCCGACCCACGAGTTTTCTAATTTCTACATATGTTTATGCTTCGCTATGGATGGCGTTAGCATAACGTAATATCATACACACGGTGTAGTTTTCGTGTATTCCTTTCCTGACTAACGTTAGCACAAGAATTGCCTCGGTTATGTTAGATGTAAATAATCAATTCTAGTTAATAATTTTATTAATATTTTTTTTTAGGTAATGTACATATCACAGGTTGGTTAAAAAGGAGAATAAATCATTAAAACCTTGAAGGGGGTCCAGAAGGGAGAACCTAAAGAGAACAATATATGGTAGCAGGTGGATTGTGAGATCCCACATTGATTGGAGAGGAGAATGAAACGTTTCTTACAACAGTGTGGAAACCTTTTCCCAGCAGGGCTGGTGAGGTCGTTGAGGCTTGAAAGGGAGTGGATTTTGAGATCTCAGATTGGTTGGAAAGGAAAAAGAAAAGAACAATATGTACTAGCGAGTGGGGTGGGTCGAAAAGAGTGCACTGATTTTGATGGGTTTCCCTGAAACCCATCTAGAAGGACATGCATGCATAGATTTGATTTCAGAAACCAACATCCGGAGGCCACAACAGCTGAATTCATTCATGAAACGCAAGGACGTGTTAGTTTAAGAGCCATAGCCAATGAAGTGTCCATTGGCAGTAGATTTGATAGCCCACCAACCATCTGGGCGTCTCATGTGACCAGTATCCTTTCGAATATTCCTCATTTCATTGTCAACTGCCAAAACAACACAGCACCAAGCAGAGCAAACAAACATTACCAAAAGAGATCAACTTTGTATGTTTAGCTAACTGGAAGCCTCAAGCTAGCGATTATAGCTTAAAATCTCCAAAACAATGAGAACCTCTCAATCCATGCCTGCCCCTTACAGCCACCCGTCCATCTCCCACTCCAAGACACCAAAAAAGAAAGAGAAAAATCGTTCATTTCCTGCAGAGCCAAGCCATGGCTGTCTGTAAGAGCCTCCACCCCATCTTTGAGAACCCATTGCCTGAAAATCAAACCCTTCTCGAGTCACTCACGTCCTCATGGACCCACAACGTTAAGCCTGTGGGGCAGAGTCTGCAACTCTGCACAGAGGGATTGGGGTCAGAAAGCTCGGATGATGTTGAAAATGAAAATTGGGAAATCAAAGAAGGGAAAGTGGGGATTGGTTGTGTCAAGCACGCTGCATCACGGATGAGTACCAAAGCTTTGCCTCCGCCTTTGTCTTTCATGGGAAGGAGTGGAAAGGGTGGGGTTTGCTTCATATCGTACAGGGAAGATGGAAGGTTGGTGTTGAAAGAAGTAAGAATTGGGTGTCGGGAATTTGTAGAAGCTCGAAGAGAGGATGGGCGGCTGAAGCTGCAAATTGTTCAACCCAATGAGGAAGATGAAGATGAAGAGGCAGAGGAAGATGAAGAACATGATGATGTAGAAGCAGAGACACCCTCGTCCTCTGTTGTGTAAGCTGTTCTGTTCTGTGTATGGTTTTCAAGAAAAACAAGTGTAAGAGAACTGTCAAATCTTCTTTCTTCTGTTGTTCTTGGTTACTGGTAAACTGGATGATGTTAAGAGCAATACTTCAAGTAAAGGATCTTTTGTTCCTGATATACTAACCAAAAGTTTATAACGTTTTTAAAATGGTTAGGCTTACGACAATGTGTAACAAGCCAAAACATGCAATATCTAGTAACAATGGTCTTATAAATAGTTTTAGAGACAGTCACCGAATGACGAGAGGCATTAGTTAGAGTAAGGCTTCTGGATATAGCACTAACATGTGCGAGATATTAGACAGTTTTTTTCAATACCTTGTTGAGGAGGGTAAGAAAAACCATCGACGAGAATTCGAGACAACCCCCAACATCCACCACTGCTCCATCGAACCTCTTTCTTCACATAGTCAGGAAGTGGGTTCGTGAACCATGTGCAGAGAGGGGGCAAGGCTCCCGGCACACCAAGCGAAACAAACCGGTTCTTGGTCACGACACCAGCTAGAAAGTTCCATTAAATAAAGTCCCATGGAGAGCCAAACGTCTTCAAGCATGCCAAAACAACAAGCTAGCATTAATAAGACTGATTATCCTTATGGTGCTATGTCACCTTGTTATGAAACAAGCCGTCTATGACACCTAAACAACTGCTAGTGAGACCCTCTTCATAGTAAACATATTTTAAAATCATGAGGCTAACGACGATACGTAATGGGCCAAAACGGACAATATTGGTTAATGATGTGCTTGGACTGTTACAAATAGTATCAAAGCCAGATTCCGAAAGTGTGACAAATGGTGTTAGGATTAGACACGGGAGATATGCTAGCGAGGACATTAAGTCTCCAAAAAAAAGATTGAATGAATATAAAATAAAAAAGGTATTATTAGGTCCTTGATTGAATGAAGTAGACGAGAGAGAATAAAAGAGGAAATAATTTGTATTTACATTTTATTTAATTTAGTATAATTTAATGTTTATTTATCATTATGAAGGGCAAAATTAGTAAATAGATGCCCAATAGAGCCTCAATTCGTGGTTTGAGTTGTGATGGGGTTAATGACCCGTCTTCATTGAAGGAGGAGCCTAGGGTTCGTTCCTCGGCTAAGAACAGGGGGTCCTATTATTTTTCTACGATTCTTCATTTGAAGCTCACAATTTCGGCAGAGTTCTTCTCTAAGTAGTTTCGCTGAGTTTTCGCAGAGAGCGTCTTTGGTACTCTTTTGCTTCTTATCTCATCTTTCATGTCTTTCTTCAATCTATCTTTTTCTCCACTCTTGTCATGCGCTACTGTTTTCTTTCTTTATTTATTTATTTGTTTTTTTCATTTTCCTTTGTGACTCGCGGAATTTTTCTGAGGTTCGTGTTGTTTGAACTCAAAACTTGCACCTTTCTCTTCTATGCCGCGGAATTAATAATACTGAGACGGGTGGAATATTATTGGAATACTAATCCTAGCAATGTAAAATTTGGGGATACAATTTAAAGGCGAAAGGTTTTATCGAGGGATTCTGAAATTGAGAATCCGTTGTTATAGGAATGCTCCTGCCATGTTTTAGGAAAAGCGATAGAAAATCATCTGAGGAATTACTGGTGCTTTCGCTTGGATGAGCATCCAACTGTTTAATATCTGAGACTTTGGAAATTTAAACTTTTAAGGGAGAGATATGTGTCAAAAGATAGATTAGAATTTGCGTTACTCCATGAGGTTTGATTTAACATATGGTAAGGCAGTAGGACACTAGTGTACCAAATTGACGTTTGTAGGTTTTGACTATTTTCTCAATTTGGACAATTTTGGCAATTGACGTTTGTAATATATATAGGCTAAAAGCGAATAAACAATAACCACGACTTTGATAGCGTATAACTTGGGTAGGAAGAATTGATAACTAACCACATCCCTCGTAACATATTTTGGGGCATTTTAACCTTGGCGGGTGTAGACATGATTTTGGCGAACGGTCATACACTCTTATATTGACATGGCATGAATATTTAAAACCCAACTAACATGAAAGCAAGCAAAAAGGGGTTTGGAATGGACATGTGCCCATAGGCAACACGCCTTGGACAAGCATGGCTAGGACATCCGACACGCGGCCACAGAGAACACTTCTTGGACAAGTATAACCATGGCACCTAGCCACCCTATGAGGTGTTCTATCCCTTTAAATGCCGAGAATCAACTGGCAGGGGAATTACTATTGTGAATACATGCCTCCGCTTGTTTTCACTTCTTTCATTTGAAATGATTACTGATTTATGCGTTGCTTGTGAGATAAAGCTGAATGAGGAGTCTTTGTATATGATGTTATTTACTGATTGTTACGATGGTCAGGACGATGATGCCCACATCTGATCGCAGTTTCTTTGTTCTTTTTGCAGGGTTTACACAGATTGGTATGTTGTTTGGAACTGCTATATGTTTTTGTGAGATGGACAAAATTGATTCTCCATTTGTAGCAGCAGTCTCATTCCTTTTTTGTCTAAACCTTTTATATCAAAATGGTTCCATTGGATCTCATATGCTACTTTGCGTGGCATTGTTATATCCTTGCATTTAAGTAAAACATTCAATTGTCTCCATAATTTATTCTGCTGTCATTAACATTAGTTTCGTGAGATAGTCAGAAAATGACACCCCTTGAAAAAAGATGTAGAAAGCTAATTTGTCAAAAGGATTTTTTTTGGTATGGCAATCATTCTGATTTCTAGACGTTCATATCTTTATATTTTTTTGCACCACCTCCGTAATTCTCATTGCAATCACTGAGAGACTCGTTAACCGGTCTCTTTTATGCTACTTGTGTTATAAACGTTACCCCTCTAGAAAAAAATTCTTTCACATTTCAATCCCCTCGAGTCTATTCTCATGACAACTTTTCATTTCAGCTTCATATTTTTCTTCTCCATTTGGCCTTTCTGTTTGTTTCCTCCTCTCAGTAATTTTTTATGTCTCCCCATGAATTCTTCTGGCCTCTGTGTCTTCTTCACAGTTACCTTGCAAGCTTGTTTAATTAGACAAATAAGATGCCAAGTGGAAAAGGAAATGCTTCATCTATTGCTAGACCAGTTGAACCTGAAAAGCAAAATGAATCCGAAAAGCCAGTTGACTCTGATGAGAGGGTAGATCTTGATGTTGATAATGATCCTGAGGAGGTAATGGAAGAAGATGTCGAGTATGAAGAAGTAGAGGAGGAGGAAGAGGTAGAAGAAATAGAAGTTGAAGAAGAGGAGGAAGAGGAGGAGGAAGAGGAGGGTGAGGAAGAAGATGTTGAAGAAGTGGAGGATGATGGGAATAATGACAATAGAATTAATGGCCAAAATGAAATTGACAATGATGAGGATGAAAAGAAAAAACATGCCGAGCTTCTTTCCCTACCTCCTCATGGTTCTGAAGTATATGTTGGTGGTATTCCTCACGATTCTTCTGAAGAAGATTTAAGGCATTTTTGTGAACCCATAGGAGAAGTTACAGAGGTAAGCTCGGTCATGTTTATTCCATTTCCAGATATGGGCTTTTCACAAGGACTTACAGCATTGTGCTTCAAGCAGGTTCGCATTATGAGAAATAAAGAATCAAATGAGAATAAGGGCTTTGCATTTGTTACCTACAGAAGCGTTGAGTTGGCTTCTAAAGCAATTGATGAGCTGAATAACACCGAATTCAAGGTTTACTTTTTACATCTGTTCATAGTTTGCATGTCAATAAGTTGATACATTAAGTGCAAAGTTGGAAGCTAATGTTTAAAATTTGTATATCCTTCGATTTTTTTTAGAATCTTCCATGCCTTTTCTTCCCATTATCCTTTTCAGTATTTTTATCTTCTGTTTCTCTGTGCTTATGCATGTGACATAGGGAAAGAAGATAAAATGTTCATCATCTCAAGCAAAGCACCGTTTGTTCATTGGTAATGTTCCCAGGAGCTGGGGCGAGGAAGATCTTAAGAAGGTTGTGAAAGACATTGGGCCTGGAGTTACGGCTGTGGAACTAGTAAAGGTTAACATGAAAGAATTTTTCATGTTGGATTTTACTTTGCTACATCTGTATTATGACGTCTTTTTGTTCCAGAATTATTGTACTTTTCTCTTTCCAAAGAATTTATAAGTTTGTGCTCGTAACCTGGTGCTACTTTCTTTGATTTGATTTTACCCAATTTTTGGTTGCAGGATATGAAGAATACTAGCAATAACAGGGGTTTTGCTTTTGTTGACTACTATAATCATGCATGTGCTGAATACTCAAGGCAGAAGATGATGAATCCAAAATTTAAGCTAGATGATAATGCTCCAACTGTTAGCTGGGCAGACCCTAAAAATGCTGATTCATCTGCTGCTTCACAGGTCTTGCTCGATTGCTTTTAGACTTTGCACGATTAGGCATGTTTCTCTTTTTGTTTCATGTTATACTAAAATAAGTAATAAATGGCTTTTATTAAAATATCTATAACTCAAATTGTTAAATAAATTAGCTTATGGGTTAAATGTACACTGAATTTTTATTTATTTATAAAATAGCTGCTAATGAATTTCATGTAATTAGTTATAAGCTCCCAATGAGTTTGAACTATCAAATATATATTGTTGACAACTCCTATTTGTGTACACAAATTTATTGATGAACGAAAGCCAAATGATCAAATTAACAATTAAATTATTATTTTATGAAGGTTTTTTTTAATCTAACAACTAACCTTTTTTTAGGTTCATCAAGGCTGTTGTCTAAATTTCTTTTCCGATAAACATAATGACTAATGTAAAATTTGTGTGATATGTCATGTCTATTCCCTTGCACCTTTTAGTTGGTTTTTGTATCTATGGCCTTAGTTTATTATTGACTGAAGACAGCACATGTTAAGTCTTGTTATTCGACTTATCTTTGAGTGATCTGTTTTCATAATAGTTTTTTTTTCTTCCCATCTTTTTTGGACAATACAGGTGAAGGCAGTTTATGTGAAGAATTTGCCAAAGAATGTAACACAGGAGCAGTTAAAAAGGCTATTTGATCATCATGGGAAAATTACAAAAGTGGTTTTGCCTCCTGCAAAAGCTGGACAAGAGAAGAATAGAATTGGTTTTGTACATTTTTCGGAGAGATCCAGTGCTATGAAGGCTTTAAAAAATACTGAAAAATATGAATTGGATGGTGATAATTTATCTAGAAGCTCTTCTGAAGTTTTTCATTTTACCCACCACCAAAGTGAGGCTGGTCTTTGATATCCATTTTTTATGCTTATATATTAGGTCAACTTTTGGAGTGTTCTCTTGCAAAGCCACAAGCAGATCAGAAGTCTGGAGGATCAAATAGCCAAAAGTCTGGATTGCTTCCCAACTATCCACCTCGTGTTGGATATGGCTTTGTTGGGGGGCCTTATGGTGCTGTAAATGCAGGATATGGTGCTTCTGGTTTTGGTCAGGTAAAGTATTTGTGCATTTGTTTAACTTATTCATGGGTTCTAAACTTGGTATGCTCTTGTCTTGATAAGATTAACCTAGCCATCTCATTTTGTTCCCTTCGTCTTGAGAAGTGGCTAATTGGCTTATAGTTTATAATTGAAACTCAGAAGAATTCAATGGGAGGAACCATTTGCTGATCGATGGGATTTAGAGAGATTATTTCTCTCTTTTAAGAAATTTGGGGAAAATACCTCAATCCATAATTATGCATGTGTATCTTTTCTTCTGTTTCAGTACAATGACCATTAATGGACACCTTGATAACTTATCTAAAATTAGTCTGACTGTGCTGTTGCATTTGCTTTTTTGCCTTGGACGTATGACTTGAAGTACACCCTTCTTTAAACTAAGAAAAGAAAAATCTGATTGAAATGCATTTGAGCTGCAGCCGTTGATATATGGAAGAGGACCAACTCCTGCTGGTATGGCAATGATGCCGATGTTGCTTCCTGATGGACGGATTGGCTATGTCTTGTAAGCTCATACATCTCACTCCTACCTTTATTATTACAGTTGGAGAATGCAAATCCATGTTGAAGTAAATTGCTGCATCTGATACTTTAGCTTCTGCGCTGATGACTCATCAAAAGCTCTCCCTCCTATATCCTTTTGCAGGCAACAACCAGGATCACAGATGCTAACCCCTCCACCACATCCAAGAAGTGGCGGCAATGGTGGCGGAAGTGGCAGTAAGAATGGCGGCAGTTCTAGTAGGGGGAGACATACACATGACAACAGTAGCCATGGTCGCAGGTATCGCCCATATTAATTCTTGCAGTGAACGTTGTGCCCGTGAACGAACACGAAAGGTTTCTGCTAAAGGTTGCCTCTCCCTCCGCCTAACATCGTGATCGTAGAGTCTTCCTAGCTAATTTATGGGCTGCTTTGTAATGTGGTGGTTAGTTCTTTTTAATCAACATTACCTAGGAGGTTACAGTTCAAATTAATTAATGTGTTTTGCCCTCGGTTTTGTTCAAATTCAGCTGTGGTAAAAATGGTCTTGAATACGTTACCCCATTGGTATGATTTTAATTGCATTCCTGAAATCCAAATCATTTCTTAAATTAATTTTGATCAACTGTTATAGCATTATCAAGTACGTAGCTACCTAATAATAAAGCCAAAATTTAAGAGAAAAAATCTATCAAAATTATGATAAATACCTCATTTCGCCTCACTTTAAAGATGGTAGAACTCTATTATTATTATTTTTTTTAAAATCCCTCAAATGTTTATATATATGTATATATATACACACGTAACATTTTAATTTAAAATTAGGTTAAAATTTCAATTATTGTATATATAAACTATTAGTAATTTAATTAATTTTATGGATCAGGTATAATTTTTGGGGTTAAATTAATTTTTTTCTTAATTAAATTAATTTTATATAGTTTAGGATGGTTTGTGCACTTAAAACAAATAAATAATAATAAATAAATAAATAAAATCCATTTTTGGATCGTGATTCACGTTAGTATAACGCAGTACGAAGTTTTGGTGACTCTGTAGGTACCTTTATCTAGAATGCCCGAACAACTACGCAGTGGACTCGCCGTGCAACCAAGCCGATCAATCCCCGACTCTCGCCCTCAGCGAAATCAAAAAACTCTCTTCCTTTTTCGATAATTGAGACAGGAGAGAGGATTTCTTCCTTAATCAAGGTCTTGAACAATTTTGAATCTTCCGGGCGTTGGATGAAAGCAGGAGGTTCCGTCAGCTGAACAAAATGGCTATCCTGTATGCGGTGGTGGCAAGAGGTACGGTGATTTTGGCGGAGTTCAGTGCTGTCACTGGCAATACTGGCGCTGTCGCGCGGCGGATCCTCGAGAAGCTGCCGAATGAAGCGGACTCTAGGCTCTGCTTCTCTCAGGAACGCTACATCTTTCACATTCTGAGATCTGATGGCCTGACCTTCCTCTGTATGGCCAACGACTCATTCGGCAGTAAGTGTTTTCTCCTTGTTATTTTATCGATTTCTGCCTTCGCGCCTCCTGTTTTCTACTACGTGTAAAACGATGTTGAGAATTGAGTTAAGGTTTTCGATTTGGTGTCCGAGGCTGATAGATGGTGTTGGTGTCTGAGGCATATCGGTGGCATTTCAACTGATAGTGATAACGCAAATCACGCCACTAGCTTTAGCTGTAGAAAGTGGAATACTTAGCTTAATTAATTGCCATCACCTTCAATTAACGAATTGCGGATTCTAAATTATGAAAGAAGGGGGAAAGTTATAGGTTTTCTTAATTTTGGGAACTTACTATGTATGGGATTGTCAGACTTTCAAGAGCGCAGGATTTTCCTTTTTTTAAGCTTCTCGATTCACGTTATATTGATTTCGATATCCAACTTTTTGTTGTTTGTTAGATCCTCATTTTAGGTTTAAAGATCAATGGTCTTTAACTTTTCTGGTTTTGAAGTTCTTGGTTTATCGTTCCAGGGAGGATTCCTTTTTCTTATTTGGAGGATATCCATATGAGGTTCATGAAAAATTATGGTCGAGTGGCCCAATATGCCCCTGCATATGCAATGAATGATGAATTTTCAAGGGTCCTACATCAACAAATGGAATTTTTTTCTAGCAATCTTAGTGCTGATACCCTCAACCGTGTTAGAGGTGAAGTAAATGAGGTAAGTGTATTGAACATCCCATTATTTCTTCTAGTGGACGGAGTCTTAGTCTTTATCTTGTACAATTCTACTAATCCAGCATACTTCATCTTCTGGTAGAAGTTAAAATAGCTCAATTGCTTGAGAGCATAAAATGTAAGGCGCATATTGTTTTTCCCACTAATTTAAGCAACTACTTTAAGGGGATGTTTAGAGGCATTCATCCAACAAAGATTTGTCCGCTCATCGTTCTCCTTGTTTAAATATCTCGTCTTCTTGCCTGATGTTTCCGAACATATGATCAAGGGCTGGTTGGTGCATCTTTTTCTTTCTAAAGAACTTTGTAGACATTAATCATTTTTATGCGTTGTTATCGTTCACTTCTTGTTTATTCTAAATTTATGGTGCTAAAGTTCTTATTAAAAAAAAGTTGTAGTGCTAATGTAATATGAATGTTCTTATTAAAAAAGTTGTAGGAAATACAAATACTTACCATATCATCCCCGTGCTCTCTTTTAGCTATACTACTGAATTTTTGGTTCCTATCATAATGGTAGCAACATTTTTTCTGGTGGCACTTTTCCTTTTCGCCCCTAAAATATTGTGTTGGAACCTTTCAGTACTTAGTAAAGAATTCAATAACTAATGGAGAAGATAATATCTTCCCCCTCCCCAGTGAAGCTTTCTAAAAGTTCTTAAATTGAAGGAGAATAGTACTAAAAGGGTTTATACAAACAAGACCTGACGATCATCTTTTCCGCTGAAATTAATTGTCAAGTGTCCAGGAATTGGCAGATTTCATTTCCAGGCTTCCGTTACATTTTGTTCTGTATCTGTGTATACTTTCCCTCATTGTACCTTGCCTTTTTTACCATGTCTGCCTGCTTCTTTCATGTACTGAAAAACTAAAATCTGGTTCGCAGATACGGACAATTATGGTGGACAACATTGAAAAAATACTGGAGAGAGGTGATCGTATTGAACTTCTTGTTGATAAAACTGCAACAATGCAAGATGGTGCATTCCATTTCAAGAAACAGTCCAAGCGACTTCGTCGAGCTCTTTGGATGAAAAATGCCAAACTTCTGTGAGTAATTAGCAGCTGTTTGGATTTCATTTTAATTTTTTAAATCACTCAGAGAATCATTCTGAAAATCTAAAAAATGGTTTGAAAGTTATCGTGTATTTTTTATGGTCCAGTTTTTGTTCATTTATTTATTTATACTAATTTGAATATATAATGAGCTTGAATGGATTTATTCATAAAAGGTGTATAATATCTGTTGTAGAACCCAAAACATTATTTCCTTTATCTATTATTTTTGTGCTGAAAATTGTTTTCAGAATTCTTTTGTCCATGGTCTTCGAATAGCTGATATTCATGTTTAGAAACAGAATTGTTTTCAACCATTACTTCCAACGAGCCCATTGAGTTCATAGCATGACACTAGTAACTGGGATCTTAAAGAAAAACGATAGTCACGAGAACATACCGTTTTCAGCTTAGATAATGGTGACTAAGAAGAAAATGGTGATTGAACACCGAAGCAAATTCTTATGTTGCTTACTTGAGATATTGAAGAATAATCAGTTTTTGGTTTCACGATTAAAAGAAACCTGATGATGTTACGAGTACCTTAGTAGGGACATATAGTTAGTCTGCTTTTCTGTCTGTTGTAATGTGAGATCTCACATCGGTTGGAGAGGAGAACGAAGCATTCTTTATAAGGGTGTGGAAACCTCTTTTTAGCAGATGCGTTTTAAAAACCTTGAGGGGAATCCCGAAAGGGAAAGCCCAAAGAGGACAGAATCTACTCGCAGTGGACTTGGGCTTGGGCTGTTACATATACACTTTCAAGGTGTGATATAGAATCTTATATTTCCATGTTTACAGAGCCCTGATGACATGCTTGATCGTAGTATTGCTGTATGCAATAGTTGCTGCTTTCTGTGGGGGAATTACCCTATCTTCTTGCAGATCTTGAATTCCAGAACGGGTATGCCATGATGAAAGATTTGAAGCTCATTTGCGGGACTTTCAAATTTGAGGATGGATTCAGCAGCCTTGCTCTATAGAACCATAACATATAATACCATGTTCATAAAGCTTTGAACTTTCTAGGTTTGTCCCTGTAAATTCTTCTCCTGTGGTTGCAGTATGTTTGTAGCTGCTGCTATTGCTCTTGGAAAGCTTGTGGAGTTCATACTTCTGCTTCTGATGATTTTCTTTTTGTTTTGTAAATTGCTTAATATTTAGTGTTGCAATGTGTTATTATTTGAATTGGAAGATCTTGGTTTTTCAATGAACTCTTGCTTTCATTCTGCAACATTACTTTGCATGTGTTCTTCCATGGCTGCTGGAGTTATGTGAATGGTGAAATTAGTATCTTTTTTTTCTATCAGATTCTTGAACAAGACACATAGTGGGTAAATTTATCACAAATTCAAGTAGGTTTGGTTTTGTTGAATATTAGAGAAATACTTAACACTAATATTTACATAATCTCACTTAACTTGATCGGTCAAGTGGAAAGGGAAATGCACTTGAAAAATATTAGTTTAGGATATTTCTTTAATTTTTCATCCAATTTGTTTATTCTAATTTTCGTACTTTTAAAATATTTATATTATAATTATTTTTTCTTAATATCTGCTTTGATTTTTTTTTTTTTTTAATTTAGTAATTGTTTGATCTAAGATTTAGATTTTAATTATGATTGGAAAAATTAATAATATAATGCAAAATGAAAAATAGAATTCTAATTTTTGAAAGGTTTGATAATATAAAGAAATTGGAGTTGGAAGAAACTGCCAAAATTGATGGTTTAAAGAAGAAAAGTTGAGATTTAGTTAGAAATTAAGTGAAAATCAGTCTTTAATCTTTTCATAATCTTCACTTTACTTCACAATTAGTTTAAACATACTTTTATTCTCTTCCTTTAGTAGGTTTGGTTCCCATATTTTCTAATTTAAATCCACATACTGCTATTTAATACTTCAATAAAATAATAATAATATAATTTTAAAACTATTAAAAATAAAGCAATTTAATGTTTGGGAGAAAAAAAAAAGGGCGTCTGCATCAACGACCAGCGGATGGCGACGGTGCCGACCACGACTTCCAATTCAACGACGTCGTTTCAACGGATGGGAATGTAAGGGAGCCGCGTTTATCTTCTACGTTCAGGGTCAGGTCAAGGAAGGCACGTGTTTTGCATGCGCCACGGTCTCTATAATTTCTTCAATGTGCTAATCAATTTCTTTTTTTGTTTAATTTTATTTATTATGGATATTATTTGTCCTTGCATATAAAAATCTAGAACTTAATTTTGAGCTAAAAATTGCCCATCAGTTTCATTGCGATCATCATTAATGTACATCGGCCTATATGACATTTTTATAATATATATAGTTATAATATTTATGTACTTTATTA